TATGACCAAAACTGATCATCTTGGCCAGTGCTGGGAAATGCCTCCCAATACTGAAATATCCATATCTGCAAGAGTTTTCCAGTGAGTTTTGTTTTTCATGTTTTCATATGTGACATTTCTTTTTGAAAGCTGAATTGGAATGATGCTGTGTTCCAAAACTCCTTGCTCTTCTTGTAGGAATTCAGTATTTTGATAATTTGCTAAGCTTAAACTCTACAGCTCTCTTCCTTTCCTAGATCAAACCTGATACAATTTTCCACATGTTGCAGTAAATGTTTATATAACAGATTTTTTTGGGCTATCAAGTATTTCCTCACACTAAGCACTATCACATTTAAGGCAGATTACAGTGATCTGTCATATATTGTTTGTTCTGTCCCCTCTCCATGGGCATGTGACTGAAGTGTTCATGACAGTAGGGGGGGGCTGTCAGATGGGAAATAAGATGTTTCTCAGTCACCCTGTGCTGTGTCCAGTAGTAATTTGCAGGGAGTTTGAAGCTGTTGGCAGCTGTAGCTCTGAAATAACACTGAGTTGTCTCCTCTCTTCTATTTCACATGAAACTGAGAATTCTTGCAGTGGTTGTTTCATTTCCCCATCTGCTCATCCCCTGCCTTATCTCATGAGGCTGATGTCTTGCCACCCCATCTGCCATCCAAATACCAAGTTCCAGAAAACATGAGAAAGTTTGTGATGCAAATGCAATTTATTGATGTGGTTTTCATTTCACTCTGACATTGGAGACTGTTGACTTTTCCTCCAAATTGTGTGTACACAGTCCCACTGAAATGCACTTCCCTCTCGAGGCAGGGGAAGTGGAAGGGTTCACAACTGCTTGAGAGGTATCCATGCACCTTCATGAGTACCAGGGAAAAAAATCTATGTCAGGAAGAGGTTTTTGGGGTTTGGGTGGTGTTTTTTTAGCTGTCTACATACAGGGACTGCTGTTCATCTCTTAAAACTTTCAGCAGTTACAAAACTAGATTTGAATGTAGAGTAGAGAATTCAGGTGTTTCATGTCATGGAATGGTTTGGGTTGGAAGGGGCCTTAAAAGATCACCTAATTCCAACCCTGCTGCCATGGGATGATTACGATGGGGATGAGCAGCTCCACTCCACCTCGTATAGATGCATTTTAAGGGAACAGCAGAGAATCACTGTGGCACAAACACAGCGGTTAAGGGGATGCTTGTGGCGTGTTGTTGTCCCTATGATCCCTGCAAATACCACCCAAAGCAAACAGGAATTGTAAGGAAATGGTCATGAGGGGCATTGGACCAGGTGCTGCATTGTTGAGCCCTGCTAAGGAGCACAGCAGCCTTCTGGGTGCAGTGAAGGAGAACCATCAGTGCCACCCAGGGTTTTCTTGCAGCAGGGAGATAAAATTCATCTCAGAGCCACTCACGTGTTTTTCAGTTCACTGTTTTCACTACATGTGTTGCAGTAAGTAATGGTCAATGTCCTGTTGCACTTGGGGCTTGCTTGGTGTAAGGCTTTACTATTCATTTTCCTGTTAGGTTCAATTTCTGTGATTTTTTTTTCCATGGTCTTCCTAAAGAGACAGGGCCTGATTTCCTTATGTGCTGCTCAGCAGTCCCAGTTGGAATACAGGAAACTTGCAGCATGGCTGAAAATATGGTCCATTAAGTTATTTTATTATGAATCCATTAAGGACTCTGCAGTTTGGTGGGTAACTGAGGTGTTCAGGGAGTTACACAGGCAAAATGTTTTATTGCTTATTCCATTGTGAATAGTCAGGAATAAGCTTGGTCCATGTGCATCCCACACCCATAGTGGAGCTCCCAGTTGGTCCCAGCTCCCTGAAACCAGGCTCAGTGTGCAGGTGCTCCAGGTGAGAGGCTGTGCAGCCCCAGTCCCTGTGAGACTTGTCCTGGTGGATGTAATAGTGTGTGGAACAAGCCTCCTGCTTGTGCTGGGACAGCTTTTCCAGGAGGATTTGCAGCTTGCAGGATATATATATTTTTTTCTTTTTGTTGTGGCTCTTAACACTGTGCCCCAGGCTCCACTAAATAGACAACCTCATTAAAAGAGAAATAGCGATAGTAAAGCAGTGACTTTCTCATGCCATCTAACTCACATTTTTGACATGATTGCTGGACCCTCCAAGTACTTAATTGATTGACTTAATTGATTTAGTGGCACTGGAGGCTACAGCATGGAAATAAAGGGGCAAGATGAGGATAAGGGGTGAAAAAATTTATGATAGGTGCCAAGCAGCCTGAGGGAAATTAGAAATGCTACAGATCTCAGAGGCAGCTAAATCAATTCAGTGTGATGTACAGGGAGTGACCTGGGGGAAGAGGAGAAGCAGGGGATGGAATGGAGAAAAGGAGAGGAAACAATGGCTGGTGGGAGAGACCAGAGTGAACTTAAGGGGAAGAGGAAAGGCAGCAGGCTTGGTGCAGATGGGTATTTTGGACTTTTAATACTAGGCAAAAACTTTAGTGTTTGAATAAAAGATAATAATGCCATCATGTTTAACCTAAAAAAAAAGAACTCATGCATCACAAGAACGTCTTGTTACCCACTTTGAGATTTTATCTGTGCTTCCACTTAAAGTCTCCAACATTTGCAGCAGTGACTAAAGTCACAGGAGACCTAAAATAATTTGGAGGCTGTGGATTTTGTTAACAACTGAAACTTAAATGTTAAATTACTTTCTAATCTCTGCAATATGTAATTGACTGTGTTGAACCATAATACAAATTAAGTCTTCTCTATGATTTGGTCTGTCGTGCTGCAGTGCTCCAAAACAATTTGGTCCCTCACTTAAGGATTGGTAAATGGTTTGTAGCAGCTCTCAACACAGACAGAGTAAGGACTTCATATAGTGTGATGGAATCCATCAGTTTTGGCATACTGGGGTGTCAGAAACATCCCTGAGTTGAGAAATAATTATTTTATGTGCTTCTGGCCATTAGTAAGAGGATTCTGATCTTGCCTCTTACAGTGGTGAATCTCTCCTGACTGCAACAGGAGCCCCATTTCTGCTGTGCTGGAGCAAAAAGTCAGTCAGTAAATAGTGCTTAGAGTGGATCATTGGAATATGTAGAAGGACACATGAGGTGAACTGAGGGCTCTGAAAACACAGATGTGTTTATAGCTACATTTGAGTACAGATGTGTGCGTGCACCACTGCATTTCACATGTGTGCTCTAACTCAGCGTCCCTCAAACAAGGGAAAAGCTCTCCCTAAACGCTCCATCCAGTAAAATACAGAAAAGGATAATTGCAGTCACCTTTACTTAATTTTTATTTCTATTGATACAGTGTGTAAAATGTCATAACCACTGGAAATGTAACGATTTTTGAACAGAGAATTCCCAAATAAATTGGAGCGTCTCCATCTGCTCTCTTACCTTGTGGGTGATACTCTTCCATGGTAGAACACTCTTCCAATTTAATTCCATGAGGAAGGCATCTGATCACAGTTTAATTTTGGTGCAGAACGCTGCCTGGCAATCAATAAAGCAATGTCAGAGAACTTTGATTTAATAGGAGCCAGAGATAACGTTCCCTGTCATATGCAGAATAGAGAGATGGGAACATTTCATTTCATCCTAACAGATAGCATGTAACTTGGTTTTCAAAAAAACCTAATAAATCAATATCCCTGTATTATCTAAGTAAGATCCCATCATTAATTTTAAACGCTCAACACATCAGGAGAGTCTGAAATGCACCTTCAGCTGAGCCACGTTCTGCCTGCAGTCCCTGGCAACACTTAACTCTGCCACGAGCAAGCAATCTTGATACGGGGACATTAAGAGCCATTTACTGTGAAATGAAAATGAAACATGTCCAGTCTTTTGTTTTATATGGAGCCATCCATCTCTTGCAGGCTGCCTCTCCTTTCAGGTGCCACTCCCTGCCCTGCAGCAGCTCGCCCTGCATGCCCTCAGCCTTTTCCCTGCCACGCGCAGACCTCTGTCCTCCTTCTGGATTTTAAAACTTTTAACTTCTCTTTCTTAACTCCAAAAATAACTGGTTGTTTAGAGATTGCCTGGATACCATGCTGGTTTTCAAGATGGGCTTTTCTCAAAGCCAGCAGGGATCTGGACCTCCAAAGAATTCCGTGTGAGGCTTTGCCTGCTCTCAGAAATAGCATTATCCCTAGATGATGCAAGAGTAGGTCAATATATCAGAAGGTAGAAATTGAAACTAATAGATTGTTTTAGATAAGCTTTCCAAGGACATCATTTTAAGTGGAAATACTTCTCTGTTACTTCCATAATAAAATGCTGTTTAGTGCAAAGTGAGAAAGATTCTGACACTACAAGAGATGTTTCTAAGAGACTCAGATTCATGTCCTGACTCTGGGCAGAGTTTTGCTCACACAAATTAAGTCTTTTTATTATTACTATTCACCAAAATAGTATTATTATCTTTTTATTATTACTATTCACCAAAGAGGGCTCTTAAGTAAAATGTGGACTTCTGCATTCAGCATTGATTTCCAGTTGAATAATTACATTTACATTCATTTTCTGAGGAAAATGAGTATTTGGAGCTGTGTTAGTGCTTGAAGTGAAGTCTCTTGCACTGGCTGATGCTGATTTTTGTGGAGATAAAGCAGGACTGGTACTGATTCCTTGAGGTATTGGAGATCTCAGCTGTAGCTCTGCAGAACAGCCTGGCTTACAGGTTTCTGCAGCCCCTGCTTACTTCTGTACCAAGAAATACTGATTCTGTGCCTGGGATGCTATGTAGGTAGTAGCTAGGTAATTGATTTTTTTATTTAATTGTATTTTACTTAAAGATACATAGAAAAATCATCAGTGGAAGCTTTTAGTCAACCTACAAAAGCAAGCCAAATTTGATTAGATTTTGAGCAAAAAAGAGGCTGCAAGAGTTCAGATATTAATGGGTGTTCATATCAGAATGTGTTGGGATCCAGAGAAAGTGGTGAAGGACAAATAATATTGTTTTTTAATCAAACATTCTGATGGATATTGTCTGCTGTTGTTTGTTCTTTTTAGCTACTCCAGCATCACCACGCAGTTCATGAAATTTCCTACATTGCGAAGGATATCACAGACCACCGAGCGTTTGGATACGTGTGTGGAAAGGAGGGAAATCATAGATTTGTGGCAATAAAAACAGCCCAGGCAGTAAGTATCAAATCACTGTCATTTTCTGTCATGTAACTCATCTGAAAAGCCATTTGTAAGGAGCTGCTCAAGAGGCTGGTCTTGGGTTGTTGGTGATTGTGCTAGACTGGTCACAAGTGTCTGTGCAGGTCTTAAATAGCAAATTAATGGAACCAGCTTGGGCAAAAGGGAGTGTGTTTCATTGTTCCAAATTTTTTATGATGTGTTTTGTTATAATTAGTTATTGTTTACCTTTCTAGCTGAGCTAGACTGGATGAAGATAAATTTGGTTATGTTCCTATACTCATGGAGATACACATTGTGTGTAGTCTACTGTAATTTCAATGGATGAGAAACCACTAATAAATATGCCTTTACATTCATCCATGTGCCTTTTATATTCATAATGCTTTTTATATTCATAACTATAATTATCATTAATTTTCAAGCGTAGTTAGTTCAGCAGGAATTAACCCAGGCCTGGGTGCCGAGATAGAAATTAATTCTATATTCAGTTTCATTCTGGAGGTGCTCGTCGGTTGGGATAAGAGATGTTTATTTTCCCCTACAGAAATTCTCCACCCTGTTCTTGCCTCCTTAGGCTGAACCTGTAATCCTGGACTTGCGAGACCTGTTTCAGCTCATCTACGAACTGAAACAAAGGGAAGAAATGGAAAAAAAGGCACAAAAGGACAAACAGTGTGAGCAGGCGGTATACCAGGTACACCAATAAGCTTAGACTACTGCCAGAAAAAATTTGGGTTTGGAGTTTCCCCTCCCCCAAGTTGCTCCAGAGAGGCTCTGAGCATCCTCAGCACTTCTGACAGCAGTGGGTTTGAGCAGTGCTGGCTTCCAAAGGACCATCCTGAGCCCAGCCTAGGATGAAACGGAGCTGAAAGCTGTCCCTGGGGTGTGGTGAGCCTGGTTAGCAGCTGGGAATGATCCCTCATTTCCTGCTCAGTGGTTCTTCTCATTCAGAAGGAAAACTTTAAGGAAGGGCCAGTGTTGTAAGTCAGGTTTTAACTATTGTAAGTCAGGTTTTAAGTATTGTAAGTCAGGATTTAAGTGTTGTAAGCCAGGATTTAAGTGTCTCATACTTTAGGGGAGGTTCAATATGCTTCTGAATGTGTGTATTTGAATCAAGTCAAACAAGGTGTAGATTGTTAAAATCGGATGGAACTTGAATAAAGTTACTTTGTACCATAATGTGACTTTATCTGTATCCTAAAGAAAGAAAACTATAAACTTACCTGCCCATTTTGCTTATTCCTTTGCTGTCCTTTAATTTCTGAGTACAGTTCTTTTATCTCTGCTGTTTATGTTCTTTGCTTTTACTGCCTGTCCTCTTACTTTGCTGTAGACAATTTTGGAAGAAGATGTAGAAGATCCTGTATACCAGGTAATTTCTGAAGCTGTATGGCCTTGGAGTTTCAGAAATGACTAGATACATGTTATCTAAAATTACAGCCAAAAACTTGAACAAGATGTTTTGAAATTTACTGAGAGAGGTCTTGGGAGAAACCTTTAAAACCTCCACAGAAAGTAGCATATTTAGAGATTAGGCTGTAAGTAACAGCATAATATATCTGTATAGAATGAAATATTTCTGTTGGAGTATAGAAATATTAGATGAAATATGTCATTAATGGTACCTAAATGTGGCTTGTGTATCCAGATTTTAAGTCTCAAAATGAGATTTTTCATAATTTTTTAATACAAACTCAACTGAAAAGGGAGCTACTCTGAGAATTAGGGAAGGTGACGTCTTGTCCTCACAGTACTAAGTTGACAATTTGTTTTTGTTTTCTGTGTAGACAGAGTTTAATTCAGAGGGTGAATATTTGGAAAAAAAAAAAAAACACAAAAAAACCTAACAGTAGCTTTGATGCTGTAACACACTCCCTTGTTGGCGTTTGAGCTATGATTTAATAATAGATCTGAAATTTAAGTCTTGCTCCATCCAAGAAAAATGTCTGGGAGCAAAGATGATTATCAGAAATGTGTCAATATATTCATGTCCAATACCCTGCTGAGTGTGAAGAAGGAAAAGATGTAATTTCATTCTTGTGTTTTTGTGCTGAAACAAAATATGTGATAGTTTACTTTTTTTTTTTCCTGGGGATTTTGTGTTCTTCCACTTAGGCATATCAGTGGGAGTCACACTGAAAGGATCCAATTCAACCATTAGTGAATATTGAACAGTGCCTAAGGTGCAGCAAGAAAGATGATAAGAGTCAGGATGCCGTAAATTACTGTTCAGCTATTATAATGTCAGGAGTTTTGTGCTGTACTCTTCACAATAAAGCAAGAACCTGAAAATGAAAAAGTGTTGTGCCAGCCTTTTGCCGTGTGGCCTGTTCCATGCACACCAGCCCGTACTCCCAGCTTGGATTTAGCACTTTTATTCATAGATAATAAATATACGTGGAAATAATTGCCATTATGTAAAAGAGGCAAAATTCACGTTGCCTTCAGAAAATTAATATTGGGCCACAGGCAGTCTCCCTGGCGAGGAAGAATTAGGGAGTTGCTCTAATGATCATTAAGAGGAGATTTAGGCCTGTTCATGAAATATGAAACAACCTTTCCTGGTGCTTCCCAACAAACCAGTTGTCCTGCTGCCAGCCTGTGCTTTGAAGTTGTTTCTTTAAATGCCTGCCTTTGTTTTGACGTGGAATTCCAAACGGCCTTTTTCCCTTCTGTTTCATCTCTGACTGTCCCTCTCTGGCGCTGGTGCCTTAGTACATTGTGTTTGAGGCTGGACACGAGCCCATCCGTGAGCCTGAAACGGAGGAAAACATTTATCAGGTATAAAACCTCTCCCCTCGCTGTTCCCATCGCAACGAGCGCAGAGCGTTTGGTGGGAGTGCATTTCATACATCGCTCGCTTTTACTTTCCATCCATCACCAAAACTGTCTTGGCATCTCATTCTGGTGACATTATCTGCCCAGTCACAATGTGATTTTTCTGTTGTTTGTCATATCAGCTTCTGCGGATTGATATTAACTTTGTCAACTCACAAACTTTTGAGTACACCATATGAGGTGATAAATGGAGATTCTCTTTTTTTTTTGCTGTTAATTTTTTGAAATTTTTTTACACCTATTCCGAGAAACATGCTGAAGATGTTTTGTTGGCAGGCCATCCAAGCAATTCCTAGAAATTTCAGTGGTGCTGCTCTTGTTTCTGTCTAACCAAGGAAATCACTGAGCAAAACCTCAGAGCTCTCAAGGGATATTCCCCCAAACCAGGGAAACTATTTTCAGAGTGCATATGTTATGTTAAAGCCCAAGCTTCTCATTCTTCACACTGACAAAAAACTGCATTGAAAGCAATATAAAATAATCTTTTGTCGTTCAATTTATCCTCAAGGGTTCAGTACGAGGTTTATTAAAATATAATGTAATTCATTTTGTATCACATACTAGAGGCAAATCTGAGAATAGACAGAGATCCTTGTGCGCTGTGAGGAAATTGTGATTTGAGGAAATCGTTCAGTGTGGAGGGGAAGGAGTTTCAAGCAGTGATTAAGCATTTCATCCAGCTGGACTAGAGGTTGATCTTATAGGAAAAGATTCTAAGGTAGGCAGGAGCAAGGATAGAACAAAAAGGAAAAAACAAAGGAAAATAATTAAGTAATGAGAAAATGCAGGAAGATAATGGAAAAAATGATAGGCTAGTGTAGCTGTAAGCTAAAATAAAAAGGAGCTGAGTGGGAAAGGGAAATGCAAGTTAAACATTAGAAAATGACATCTTATAGATGCCATCAGAGAGTCATTAATATGAGATTCATTTAATTTCTCCCTGCTGCTCCCTTGGTACCATGCACATTCAAAAATGCAGCTTCTTGCATCTCTGGACCAAGACATGCAAAACTCTCACTCAAGGTGAGAGTCTGCCTAAGGCTGAACATTTTCAGTGCTGAAAGTTTGACTATTCTCAGCAAATGTTAAAAAAATTGCTAGTCTAGTTGTCAGGTTTGTGCTAGAAACAAGGATCCCATGAGAACTAGATTTGAGGGGAAAAATGGTGATTGTTCATCAAAGTGTGGAGCTTTTAGTGACACTTCAAAGAATTACTGGTGGAAGGAGGCAAAATGGGGCTGTTGCTCTCAGTGTTTGTAGATCTTCCAGCAATCCTTGGTGGGTAGGGAAGAAGTTGGAACTGTGTTCTGAGGAATTGCCCAGAAGACTGCAGGAGTCCTTGGGGAGTTTCTTTTCCATAAAATGGAAATAGAAGGTGAAAAGCTGGTAGTGAGGCCATGTCTCAGCTCAAGGTACTGCTCTTGCAGTCCTCCAAGTCACCAGAGAGTTGCTCAAGGTTTTATTTGGCAGCATCTGGATGCGATGAAGTGTTTCCTCCCACAGTGGTCACAGAAGACACCTGTGATTAATGTCCCATACTCTGCATCTTCTCAGTCTAGCATTCTCCTCTGTGTTTACTTCAGGCACTGCACTACCTGAGTACAGCAAATGCTGGGGAGTTAGGAGTCATTTTTTGGTCTCTGTAATTGATGGGTCCCAGACTGGTCCATAGCCACGAGCTTCCCAGCTCCCACAGCTTCCTGAGCTCTTGGCTTCCACAAACATGGGTCTCCATGCCTTAGATTTTACACTCATATCACTGAAAATTATTTCTCTTACAAGATCTTGGTAGTCTCAGAACCATCAGGCTACTGTTAAAAACAAAATTGAGAAAGACCCTGTTTTATATTTTTTGTGCTTTAGGTTGATTGGTTGAGTTTTCTTTTTTTTTTTTCTCTTTTAAATTTGATGTATATTTGTGGCAGCTTCTATGATTTACTGTGAAGCCTTTCCCATAGCAGACATTGCTAAACATATATCTGCTCAGTAACCTCACACAGCCTTGCTTCAGCCTCACCAAACCTTTCTGCTGGTGCTGCTCTGGCTTTTCATTTGCTGGCATGCAACAAATTCACTTCTCTCTTGGTGGAAGAGATTCCCACCTCGTGGGGAATTGCAGATGAAAGATAATGTGCAGAAAGTGACAATTTCTATTTCTTTTTAGCATAATAGAGGTCACAACTTTCTTTTTAAGCATTCTTTCTCTGTCTGTCACCTTTCTTTGATACATTACCCCAAAGAGTGTCTGTGTCTGCTCTTCTAATATTATCTATGTATGTTGCTGTAATTTGTTAGGCAAGGAGTCAATCACTGAGCACATTCCAGCCCTCAGGTTGCTTAACAGCAGCTCCTCTGCTGCCTGGTGCTCTGGAGAGGTGGAGATGGGATTTTGGGAGGTGGTTTGGTGTTTGTGTGGCAGCCCTGGTCTCTGTGGGAGAGGCAAGTTGTGCTCTGTGAGGAGCTGACAATCTGAGATTGGGGTTTTAGGATTGTGATGCTTTTATTGCTGCAAGATGCAAAGGCATCCAGATGGTTCACAGCCTGTCACAGAGACAGAGCTGACAGCAGAAATAGTGCTGGTACCTCTTTCTGGTGCTGCTAATCAAAGGAAAAACAGCAATTCCTTGCAGCCCCCAGAGTAAGCAGAGATGCAAACAAATGTGGTGGTGCACAGCAAGAAAAGGCAGCAGGTCAGGCAGCACTGAGTTGGGAGGGAGAAATGGTTTTCAGGAGAGTTCCTCTGTCTTCATATGAGATGCAAGGAGCTCTTTGAGTATAAATTGGAGTAGAAAAAGGGGGATTGACAATGCAGGGAAATGCACTGTCAGATCTAGATGTAGGTGCAAATTGGGATGACTTCCTAGAAAGGTTGGAAGGAGGAAGAGGAGAATGGGTGACAGGGAAAGATTTTGGAGAAAACAGAAAAAAATGCACACTAATGAAAGTTTAGAAACAGTTTATCTTTCCGTATTTCCCCTCCTTCTGTGAAGACCCAGCTTTGCAGTGACTTCCTAAATTGACCATTCCTGGTTCCTGCTCTCACACTGGCACCTCCAGCTCTCTCTTTCCAGACTCTTACTGCCATGGCACTGAATTTTTACCAGTTTCACATATTTAATGTGATACTGGCTTTGCTGGAAGTGGCCAGAGAAAACCAAGGATGGGAGTAGAAGAGCTCTTCCACAAAGTTCATTCAGTTTCTCTGAGAGTTCCTGACCAGCTCTTCAATGTGCACTGAGTTCAACCACAGAGTTTCTTGTGAGGGCTGTGATGGGGTGAAAGAACAGTAGGGACAACAGTACAGAGAGGCTTTTATACAGAATATTATACAGAATAATAAATGATAGCATATCTCAATGAATAAGAAACATTTCTTCAGCTTCCCCTAGACCAGTCTGAGTTTGATATCAGAGCCTTAAGATACTTGTCTTTGAAAACAAAAAGATCATAATTTTATAATATTTGCAATATCATCTCATTGACCCGTGAGGTTTCATTGTTGTCTGAAATGTAACTTCTGTACTCAGAATGCCTTGTTTGGTGGAAGAGCACCACTGATTAGAACAGGTTATTGTCCTTTTTGCTTTTGTCATTTTCAGTGGACACCCACTGCTTCCAGGGAGGAAAGGAAATATAATCAGAAATTATAAATATGCAAACAAGTGGTCCTTGGGCAAGCACAGCCCAGTGCTACAAAGCAGCTGAGTCTGCATGAGCAGGTTATAAATCCCCTGGGTATAAATCATGACTGATGGCTCAACTAAAGGCTCACACAAAGTTTTAAGTGCATTGTCCCCTGCCCATCTCTCCTGTGTCAGGCTTCAGGAGGCTGTAATTCCTTAGGAAAATTGGAGCGTTATAACCAAGTATTTCATAGAGCAGCCACAAGGCCCCGTCACTGCACTATTGGGACTCTTCTTAGATGATTAAATTAATTGTGAGGAAGAAATCTGACACAAGGTAAAACATCTCTTACCCTCACCTTGGTAACTGTGCTCTGTGTCTCTTCATCTGGGGAGATGATGCACTCACCTGACCATAACTTCCATTGCACATCTCTAACCCCCAAGTTAAAGGAAAAAACAACCATTTAAGTAGGAAGGAGCTCCAAGTACACCTGGACTTCATGCAACCAGAATGATCTGAGAATGGGAATCTCCTTTCTGAACATTGCTGGGCTGTCGAAAATTCAGATAGGTGTTTTATTTCTTCAGTATTTTCTCCATTAATGGTCCTACTTGGATAAGAAGGGAACCATCCTCAATTTCATTAGCATTAAAAATTAGTATTAAATAAACTACTCATTTAGGTACACCCTGTGCATAAATAGCAGTTGCTCTTCACAGTTTTTCATCCAATTTGCTTTTGTAGTGACCTCAGTTTTCCTTTGCTGTTTCAGGTTCCTACCAGCCAAAAGAAAGAGGGTGTTTATGATGTGCCAAAAAGTCAACCTGTAAGTGTAAGTATCTCCCCCATTTATACACAGTAAAGGAAGTGAGGTTTTTAGCTTCTGTGTCTTTTATTACTGTCTGTAACACTTGATACATTCATCATGGTGTGATTTTCGTCAGTGATACGTTATGGGCTGGTGGGGACTGTGGTGTCACTTACATCCATCTCATTCATTGCTTGAATCTCCTTTCTGTCTTTTCTAACTCATTTTTAGGCAAGTTACCATTTGTAAATGTGTTATTTGTGGTTAGGGGTTGACAGTAAGCCTTCTGCCTGTTAATGCTTGAGGTGCTGCCTGGTTTTGAAGGGTTCCTCTGGTACCCAAATGTCTATTATTTCTGTAGTACTCCAAGTATGCTGGAAACTAAGCTTAATTCAGCTGAATTTTTTCTGTGCTCTGCCTTGTGTGTCCAGGAAAATATAAAAAAAATAGGGGTAATATGCTGTTGTAGCTAAAAAACACCACTTCCATTCTGTGTATTGGCGTTTTGAAAAGGTGAAGCATTTCTTCCCAAAATGTGTAAAGAATGGTAACAAGTGATGGGGAGAAGTGACAGATGCCTTAGAACAAGGTGTGGGTTTGCTGAAGGATGGGTTATGCTGTTCAATATAAATTTGTGCTATAAATGCCTCAAGAAATAGGATTGCTTTGGCTACACAAAAAATTAGTATTTCTGAGGATCTGTGTGAGAGTGGAGAAAAACTAAGGAAAAGAATTTCAGTGTAATATAAGCATGGGGAAGATGCCTGTGTTCACGAGGAGACTTTGTACCAGGATGTGGTGACTTGCACAGCGACCAAGATGTGGAATAAAAAAATTAAAAATGCTGTAGAGGGGCTGGATGGGGACCTGGACTGTGACTTCTGGGCTTTGCACAACCCAACAAAAAAACCCTGCCAGAAGTATTTCACCATAGGCCAGTAGGAGATGGGAGGCATCTTAATGTTGCCTGCAAAAATCTGGTGAAATAACTCACATTGCATCACTGATTGAGGTATTTGTGGGTATAGAGCAGCTGTTGATTTTTCACTTACTTTTTGTGTAGTTTTTCATATACTTCAGTGGTACAATTTCTCTGCTGTGCTTTTCCTATGACTCTTTTATTATCCCTTCAGTGATGCTTCAATTTCACTCAGGGTACAGTGTGTAATTTAGGTTGTTGTAGTGAGACTGGGTGTGCAGTGCTTGTAATAATTTGCAGACAGTCTGGTACTCCTCTGTCCTGTAAATAACAGATGTGAGATATAGGACTCATGGAACCTACTCTGTAATCATCAAATACATTTAATCTGCCATCTCCATCAAGCTAGGTGCACCTTTTTTTTTTCTTTCTTTTTATTTTTTTTTTTTTNTTTTTTTTTTCTTTCTTTTTTTTTTTTTTTTTTTGCTAGTTCATGGTTAAATTTAAAGGGATTAAAGCTTTTTCTCTAATCAACTTCTGTGCATTAATTAATGAAGAACAGGAGAAGAGGAGAAAAGAGATAGCTGAGATCCTGTTTCACCTTTTTATATTAGTATGTATTAAAAGAAAAAGAGCAATAGCTCTTAAAATTAGCAATTTAATATTCCACTGCCCATCTGATTTATTGCTCACCCTTCCACATGTGAGACTCTCTGTCATTGAGACACTTGCCATAATTTTGTTTTCAATTTATAGCTGTCATTATTATATAAACCTCTAAAATTCAATCTGAGGGCAAATAATCAAGCTCATGTACCTGGTTTAAACATGTAAGGACACTTCTTTTATTGGGAGGTCTTGCTTTCAGTAATTTCATAATGGATGAATGAAGTGAGAAACTTCTTTGTGGCTCCTGATGGGTTTCAGGCACTGTGAATTCTCTCTGCTGATGATACATTCAGCTCTTTATAGCAGTGCATCAAGTTTTGGTTGAATTCAGGTTGAATTGCCCACAGTCCCTGGACAGAGATGGAGTTTCCATCTTGGGATTGTTTTCCTCTGGTGTGTTCCCAGGCAGGTTTAGTGTCTGAACTGGAAAGTGAGGGATATTGAAGCAGTCACCCCTGTGTCCTCCAGCCTTGTCTCTGTGTAACCAGTGGAGAGAATTGGCCACTTCTCAGGTGGGATTGGCCTTGCTCCAGTGGGAGAAGTCCCTGCCTATGGAAGGGGGTTGGTATGAAATGATCTTCAAGGCCCCTTCCAACCCAAACCATTCAGTAATTCTCTGATTCTGTGAGGTTCCTCCTGTCTGCGTGACATGTCCCTCTCAGATGGAAACAAATGTACATCTGCACGTGGTTCTTTTGTGGCTGCAGATGAATTTTAATGACCTGCAGCTATGATGGCTTCTGAACTTTGGGCTTAGGTGGTGTAAGATCCACCACAGTGTAAAGGCTTGAGGGCAGAATCCCCATTTCAGAGGCTGCTTTGAAACTGGACAGTGTAATTCAGTAAAGATTTTCAGTAAGATACAGCTTCCGAAGGCACCAGAACCATTTGGGCAAATATTTCTCCATGCATATGGGATCCCACTGAGGCAGGAGGTGTGAAGCATCTCCCTGGTGGTGCCAGGGAGGAGCAGGAGAGTTCAAAATTGTGTATTCATGTACTTAACAATGCTGTGGCATGGTGTGAGGCCATTTGTCAGCGGGTGTCAAAGTGCTTTATAGCCTGGCTCCTCATGATCTCTGATATCAAATAATGTAAATACAGAGCCAATGAGGCAGAAAGGAATGAGCCTCACATCCCAGGATTGGAATGGGCCCACTGAACTCAATTATCAGCAGTGGCTGCTTGCCAAGTCACTGCTCTGACATTGGGATGGAAAGATTGCTTACTCAATGGAATTCTTGTGCTTCCCCACCTCTCTGCTGCATCCCTTCCCAGCAAATACTGCTCTCCCATGGTTTTCCTCTGCTGGGTGTGCAGCTGAGCTCCAGACACACACTTTCCCTGGCATTCAGTTCCCTCCCAATACCTCTTCCTTCCTCTGTATTAACTCACACTTCATGATTCGTTATTATTTTCTCTCTGCTCTGTCCTTGGACCAATTCTCCCATTCCCCATTCACTGAGAGTAGACATCAAGAGAAAGAAAACAGGCTTACCCTAAATTCTTCTGTTAAGTGGTGCATGCTCCACTTAGAAATTCTAGTTCTGTGTGTGAAATTAACTGTTCTAAAAAAATGAAAATGTTTAATGATCTCTTTTTGTCATAATTTCCCTTCGTCTCCCCATTAAACATCCACATCAAGTTCTACCTGTCACGGTGTTTTCAGTAATGAGAGTCAGACTGTAAAATACCCTTCACAGAGACTGTCAGTCACGTCACAATAAAACCTTCTCATCAAAATGTCTAAACTATCTGCTTAACAATTTTGTGAAGGCTTTCAAACAACTCATCTCGCTGCTGTGTAAAGATGCAAGGCATCAGAGGTGGTGCCTTGCAATGCAGGCATTTGGCTGGTGCCAGCTGCGTGGGGAATATCCAACCAGGCTGGAACAGAAGGGACAAATTCCAGTCTCTAAGGACACGGTGTGGGAGGAGCAGATGAAGCTGGACCTGAGCACACTGGGGTTTAGAAGGCACAAGAGCTGCCTGGTGGTTCTGGTGTGTTTGGGAAGGCTCAGCTGTGATTCTGGCTGGGATTGCAGTGCCATTCCCACGTCTGGCTTCTCCTGAAGTTTGCATCAGTGGCTTTGCGGGAACAATTTGCAGGCTGGTGATGTTGACTTCAGCCTCCACAGTCAGGCTGCCAGGATCAGATTCTCCGAGATGAGGAGAAAGGGATTGCACAGTCCTGGTCTCTGGCCATCTGTGCTGGGAAAACTTCCAGTTTTATTTACATTTGCTGAAACCTGTGTTCAAATGTCCTGACTTAGTCACACCCAGTTAAAGCCCCATGAGGTTTAATAGTGCAGTGTGGGACGTGCATTTTTAGCAGGTACAGCTACTTGTTGCAGAACTGGGAAATATATTAGTTTGTTGGGAGAATGTCTTGTGGCTTGGGTTGATGATTTGGTTGAGCCTTTGTTTTTTAGCCAGAATCATAGAATGGAAATCATAAAATGATTTGGATTGGAAGGAATCTTAAAGATCTTCTGTTTCAGCCCCCTGCCATGCACAGGGACACCTTTCACTAGACCAGGTTGCTCCAAGCCCCATCCAACCATTTTTAGGTTTTTTTTTTTGAGCTATCTTTTATGGGATATTTTCTGGTTTATTCTTTAATGAAAACTTCAATGGAGGTTTCAAACAGGAAGCAGAAGCCAGGTGGTCCTCTCTAATCTTTCCAGTTTATAACATCGTCAACTTAAAGTGATGAAGTTTCTTCATGTGTGTTAAGTAAATGGTTTATATGTAATCTAACACTTGAGCTCAAAGTTAAAGGCATTTTAAACAAAACTTGAAAAATTGTTTTTGCACTACCAGGTAAAGCAACACAATTCAGAAAGCTGCTAACCTGGATTCAGAGTCTTGATTTCCAGCAATCAGGAGGGGCTGGGTGTTAGAATTAATCCATTGTTAATGTATAGACAAGTAGAGATAAAGATCCTTCTGAGCATTGAAAATCTGCCCATGCAAACTTCATGTTTCAGACCATCCCTGATTTTATATCTGGCATGTCAAATAGCAGGTTTTAATAGTGAAGGAATGCTGTTTCACAGACAGGAATAAAATGTCCTAATTTAATCGTTCTTTTACACCATATGGATATTGTGGGCCTCATTTTAAGCTGATTTTAACCTGTAGGAGTTGTCCTGCTAGCAGGTTTTCCATCCTGCGTGGGTAATACCATCCCCCCAATATGATCCTAAATGCTGCTCCATGATTACATGCTGTCAAAGCTTTGAATTCACTTCTCATGCCATCCTTTAGGATTTTGGGACATAATCACATCATGTGGGGAAGCTGAAATGCAGCAGTGCTGCCCATGGTCAGTTTGTAACTGTTCTCTCTCTGTGCTGTTCAAACAGCAAGAAGGAAAAACAAAATTAAAAAACCCCAAAGATGCAGGCTTTGCCTCAGTGACAGAGTTTTCTTG